AACCCAAATTTCCTCAGGAATCGAATGGAATAGGTTTTAAGGCTCTATCTCTCATAGTTTCCGAGATAATCGCGAAAAACGAAAATGCCAAAAAAAATTAATTTAATTCATCTTGTATAGGGTGTAGGAAGTGGAAAAACGCAATTCTGAGCCGTCCATCTGCCTATACGGAACCCAAATTTCCTCAGGAATCGAATGGAATAGGTTTTAAGGCTCTATCTCTCATAGTTTCCGAGATAATCGCGAAAAACGAAAATGCCAAAAAAAATTAATTTAATTCATCTTGTATAGGGTGTAGGAAGTGGAAAAACGCAATTCTGAGCCGTCCATCTGCCTATACGGAACCCAAATTTCCTCAGGAATCGAATGGAATAGGTTTTAAGGCTCTATCTCTCATAGTTTCCGAGATAATCGCGAAAAACGAAAATGCCAAAAAAAATTAATTTAATTCATCTTGTATAGGGTGTAGGAAGTGGAAAAACGCAATTCTGAGCCGTCCATCTGCCTATACGGAACCCAAATTTCCTCAGGAATCGAATGGAATAGGTTTTAAGGCTCTATCTCTCATAGTTTCCGAGATAATCGCGAAAAACGAAAATGCCAAAAAAAATTAATTTAATTCATCTTGTATAGGGTGTAGGAAGTGGAAAAACGCAATTCTGAGCCGTCCATCTGCCTATACGGAACCCAAATTTCCTCAGGAATCGAATGGAATAGGTTTTAAGGCTCTATCTCTCATAGTTTCCGAGATAATCGCGAAAAACCAAAGTGCCAAAAAAAATTAATTTAATTCATCTTGTATAAGGCCTAGGAAGTGGAAAAACGCAATTCTGAGCCATCCAGTTGCCTATAGGGGACATGATAAAAAATAATGATAACATCAGATACCCAGAGAAATTAAGTATTGAATTAAAAAAAAAAACTCTTCATTTGAAATGTTGCAAATTATTTTTATTTTATTCGAATATTTCAGCAACATTTTTGTTGAAAATTAATAAATTTATTTATTTATTTCAATGAAAATAGTCTAATCAAATGAAATTAATAATCAATTTAATCCAAATCGAGTTTCTATTTATATTAATAAGCAATTGTTCGCAATAAAAAACATTTCATTTGATTATCAACAAGAGAATGAAAAAATAAATAAATAGATTGTTCAAAATCTCGAGAAAAGTTTTTAATTGGTTGGAAAAATGCCAAAACATAGAAATCAGAGATGAAAAATCCTATCAGAGTGATGGAATAATAACAATCATATATTTTACTAGATACAAATTAACTAAATTAGTTAACGGTATGCAGCGAACGTAACTAGAGAAAAAACTCAGAAAAAATATTTTTAAACAAACATGATATTTCATGAAAGAAACTCGAGAGAGGGCCGAAGGATACACGTGACCTGGAGGTGAATAACCCCCCGGAAACTCTCAAGTAATCCTCCAATTACAATGAACAAGTTTGCAGCCTCAGGGCGTGTGGGCTCCACAAGACACCGAGGATTTTTCATTCTTTCATTTTCACAAACATTGCGGAGAACAAGAGAACGCATAAGTACATTATGAATTCCATTCTCCCGTTTATTTTTAGCATTTATTCCTCGGGGTTCTCTGTGATGACCGTGTGGCCGATAAAGTTACCTCATGAATTATAATCAGGGACCACGAATGCCATCCAAAGTGCTCTATTTATTTGTCCGAGATAGCCACGTGGTGGTTATAACTTCACCGCGAAATCCCGAGGTATGCGGAGTATTCGCCAGTTTTGATAATTCGTCCATTATTTTAGAGCGAGTGTCGGGTCACGGCAGAAATTTCATTTTAATGAAAGATATTGCATTTCTTTCTATTAAGTTGGTTAATTTCCCTCAAGGTAGTCTGTTCCACTCTATCAAATATTTTCGCGTGGAACATACACTCCCAGAAAAATTATTTATTTGATTCAAATAATTTTTTCTTTCAACTAAATAAATATTTATTTGATGTTAAAAATTGATTATCATTTTGAATTAGTAATAAAATCGTCTAGATTTAACGTTTCCTGGATTAGGTTCATACGAACTTTTTCCACATAGCCCACGAATATTGTTGAAACACACTTTCGAAATTCTTCCATAAAATACATGAAAATGTGATTGTCTTACAATAAGAAAACTGTTTATTTGAAATCAATAAATTATTTGTTCAATATAAGTAAATCCTCTTTCTTGAAACAAGTAAACAAGTTTATTCATTTGTAATAAAAATATTCTTGAAATAAGCAAAAAATTTTAAATGGAGATTTTTATTTGATTCAAATTTAATTTTTTTTTTTAAATGTTGAACAATGAACTTGTCCTAGTGTATTTATTCAACTATCACTGGAAAATGTCTTCTAATTGCCCCAGCAAATCCAGAAAAGCCTCACGATTACCGGCCCAATGAGTTGGAGACCGAACGGTACAGGGTGTACACACGCCATAAGAGTCAGTTTGCACGAACGGGGCCAGGGGGCCAAGGCCGATGAGGGAACAAGGCGTAACTGGCGTCAAGTCCCCCCACTATCATCACCTGGGTTGACTGTCGGGTTGAATGCAAACCTCTTGGTGGTGCAGAAATGGCGGTAACGGTGGATTATAAATAACTGTGGATAGCAGGGCTACAATGCCACTGGCTACATTCCCCTCTCTCTCTCCCCCTCCCCCACCCCTTTCTTCTCTTCTGTCAGTAAACCAAGCCGTTTGCCACACGGCCATTATCATCGAGTGTACTATAATGGTGGATAGGTACTGACCGTTCCTTGCTGCACAGATGGGACGAACTCAGTCCACGAGTTATGGCGCCAACGTCCACGACCCTGTCTACTCGATCGCTGATACTCTAGATCCTGAAGTTGTGGATGACCGTGTTTCTGTTGGTTACTTGGTTACAATTATTCATTTTATGAATACGCTAGGTTGTCACGTGAGGAGTGACAAACAAGTGGGAAAATTGCTTTCATCAGAGCATAGACAGTACATTTTTTAATTTCCCGATAAATTCGTAATTTGCTTCCGAATGGAATTTCTGTGTCAATGGTTTTTAAATCGAATGCAATGATTTCATGAATTTCACATTGCCTCAATGTTGCTGTCAACATTATTCCAATGTCGGCAGTCAACATTGCCTCAATGTTGGCTGACAACATTGCCTTAATATTGGCAGCCAACATTGCCCTAACGTTTTGGAACCAACATTATGCTAATGTTGGCAGCTAACATTGTCTCAGCGTTTTATAACCAACATTATACCAATGTTGGCAGCCAACATTGCCCCAACATCACAATTTTGTATCTTTCCCTGTATATCGCTTTCAAAATAATTTTTTTCCGGACGTCTTAATTTAAGACGTTAAACTGAGACTAAAATATGTCTTATCCGCTAACTTCGTGATGACCGAAATATTTGAATGTCTTTCAATAAGACATCAAACCCGTGTAAAAACAACGCGTTTGATAGACATTTTCATAATGTCTTAAAATAATACAAGGTCACATAGGTTCATTTGATGGGGGTCTTATGGGGTTCATATAAGGTTACATGGGGGTCATTTGCCGTGGAAAGTGCTCTCGCTCCATTCAACCGTTTTTTCCCCAATATTTGGAGATAAAAATGAAGAATACTTGGGATGAAATCTGATGTCATAATACACAGTCGAAGTTGATATTGATCTTAGCCCTCCCCTGAATTCCCTCACTTATTTATCTTCCAGCAACTCGATACCCGAGTTGTTGGAGGCGCGTTTGTTGACATTCCTCCTGTCAATATCCCCGGAATTTCGCAAGTTTCAGCTACACGAGTGTCTGACAATCATAGAAAAATCGATAGGATGTTCTATTTTTCACTGCCAAAAGTCCTCTCAACCCAACAAAAGTACGATTATTGTCTTAGCTCACGTGTGAACAACATGAGCCCGCAAGAAGTACATTTTTCAACAATGATAGATAATCCTTTGGGACGTTACATCATTCACATCCGTTTGGCATTTCCCTTCTTTCGTGTGCTCGATTACGCGAAATAAAAAGAACCGGAAAGGAGGATTCGCGCCAGTCATGCAGATAGTCCGGATGGAATCCATACATGGACAGAAATGTCAGGATTTTTGTGGCAGAGCGATATAGTATATTTCGTAACGAGTGCAAAAAACATTTTTTCACGAGTTACGAACAATATTTTTCATCACAATGTGGCGGAAATTGGACTTTTAGGCACGCGGAGCGTGCCGAAAAGTTCACTTTTCGTGACAGTGTGTTGAAAATTATTAAAAAATTTTAGTTTTAGTTTTTTTTTCATTCCCCATATTCTGGGATGTGCATGGGGGATGGCGATATGGAAAAAGTTCTAGGGTGGCACTAGAAAAATTCCCCCAACAGCACAATAAAATTTCATTAGTTTTCCACACAGCGAGAAAAGTTGGTTACGAATTACGTAGAAAATCGTAGAAAATTGGACTGTGCAATTTCTCACTTGTTTTTTATTCATTTAATTTCATAATGATCTCTTTATATTATAAAAATCCCAATCGATTTCTGAAAATAAGGGTTACGATGCTCAGTATGAGGGTCACAAGCGTCAGATTAATGGTCATATGGGTCAGATTAATGGTCATAAGGATCACAAGTACAAGGTTCAGATTAAAAGTCCAAATAAGGGTCACAACTATCAGATTAAGGATCACAAGGGTCATAGTGAGGGTCAGAATAAAGGTCATGAGGGTATAATAAGGGTCACGAGGGTCAGATCAAGGGTCACAAGGCTCAGAATATCTCTCTATATTATAACAATCAAAATCGACTTCTGATTATGAAAATGTGGTAGTCGAAATTAAGAGTCACAAGGGTTAGAATAAGTTCTGACCTTTGTTAACGGTCATGGGGTTCATATGTATTTGATCGTGAGCTGTTGGGTCCACATGAAATAAAAATGAAGTGAACTGAAATGAAAAACAATCACATTGAATAATTTCATTCCTCTCTGTTTCAGAGTTTTGTGAGAAAATGAAGAGCTGAAGTGGTCACCAGTCGACCGTTATCGCCCGCGGATAACCCATCGAGCAGCTTGAAAACAACTCCAGAACAATTTCGAGCTGTTGGAAAAAACAGGAGAAAAATAAGTGAACGGAACGAGAGAGTGGTGTAGAGATGAGTGGGTGGAAGAGTTGAAGCAGAGTGCAAAAGGAAAAATCGGCAACCTGCCTCGTCTATCGCGACCAGCCACATTTCTCACGCTAAGGTAATAACACATTTACAAACTCCAGAAGACAACCACCTGTACGTCACAATGTACTTTTCATTCTTTTTAATCGAGGCTACCGTAAAAAAATTGGATGAGCTGCAGAAGGACAGATGATTTTTATAAGTTCTTTTTCCTTTATCGATTAACCCATCGCTTACCCAGCATAAAAGTGGATGCGCACACGGCGGTCAAACCTTGGACGATCACTGGCGCGTGTGATCTCATGCTAGAGTAGAGAGTTTATTCCTAGAACAATACAACCTGACGATTATTATTAAACTGTAGAGGCCCCTCAAGGTTACACTTCTAAAGGAAATTCGTTTAGACCTTTCCATTTTTATTCTTTATTATTTTTATGGTGTTGCTTTGAGATGAAAGAACCCTTCATCCGACTCCCGTGACCCTTATTTTGACCTTCATCACCCTTAATTTCGGAGTCTTAAATCCGAGTACCAAATTTTTATCACCAGGAATCGATTTGGATTTTCATAATATAGAAAAATATATACACGGAGAGAAATTTTCTAGAAAAAATTCTAGTACGAGTACTGAAAAAAATTACAATCCACCGGCTGTGAAGAATTCTAGTTCTGTTAAAGTAAAATTTCTGGGGATTTCTGTGAAATTTTCACAGAAATACGGGGAAAAATTCACGTTTTACCCAATAAAATTTCTAGTGCTGGCACTAAAATTTTTTCCTGGCCGTCACTTTGCACCTCTTTTCCCGTGCTAGCACAATTTTTCTAAAAAATTTCTCTCCGTGTATATAACCGAGTAAGTAAAAAATTCCAGGAGCAGAGGAACTATCAAATATCCCAGTATTTTTTAAAAGTCTGTTGCACAACATTTCACACGCCTTAATGCCCTCTCCATTTTTATTCCTGAATAGTCGGCTATTAGTAGTGAACACAGATATGCAGTTTTGTATTCGTTCAATAGTACGTGAAATGCCAACTCGTTAGCGGACCCGGAGTATTAACACGAGGCTTTACGATAACAGCGGTTCACCCTCCCTCCCTCACTTGCCCCACCGCTCCGCAAATCATAAACATCCGTCTGGTGGTTAGCATTTCCCCGATTTCAGTCTTCCCATTCTCCCATTTGCACCGCTTTCTCCCCGTATATCCGTTGTGGACACGATTTCCTCGGCAATTTTGAACACCAACGCTTTCCGTAATGGTGTATGGTACGTTGAAACAAGCCGAGCTTTTATACGGCTTTTGTTTTCCCTCGGAGTTGGCATGAAAAAGGGACCTATTTTCTCCCTCCGCTTTTTCCTTCCTTTATTGCGAATGATTTACCTCTTTGCCGCATTCGGTATTCTGAAGGGACTCTGGACCATTTTTTCCAGTGGGGCTGGGCAATATTCGAGAGATAATTAATTAAGCTGACAATTAGTTATTTATGACAATTAGTTATTTATAGGGTAATTATGGTTTATTAATCGTTGAGCTAGGGTTGGGGAATGAATGGTCGAGGGCATTGCTTATTTTGGAGTGTCAGAAGGGGAGAGTTTTTTGAAGTATTTTTAGATTATCGATTTGTGAGTTTGTTTGTTGAGACTAATTTAATCCATTACACGGAAAAATATAAAATTATTTTTACTGTGGGAACGTGGTAATGCTCAAGGGGAGACCACTATGCGCTTTGAAAGTCGCGGGCTATTTGAATGGGATTTCTCATACATTAAAGATCAAAAGAATTAATTGTCTATTTCTCTTTTGCCCCACAGATGTTTAAAATATTGAAAATAGTCCAGGGCCTCTAATTTTTGAGCTACAAAGCTTCATATTTTTCAAAATTTGTAAAAAAATGTGTGCAATAACAATTGCAATTACAATATAACAATTACGAATTATTTTTTTGAAATTCAACTCCTACACAGCCAATGTCTTTATTCTTTTAATAAAAAATTGCACCATTCATGTAAAATATCCCGGAAAATGTTTCTGAAATAATCGAGAATATATTTCAAATATTTTGGGGATAATTTTTCTGCATATTTTACATGAATGGCGCAAATTTTTATATTCAACAAAACGAAATTAGCTCTGCAGGAGTAGAATTTCAAAAAACTAACTCTCATTTTTTAACACCAATTTTTGACCCTTATGTTCTGACATTTAGTGCCTGACCCTTATATTACACTGAAGAGAGCTTGCTACAACCCGGACTGGTAGAAAAGAATAATCTTCGAATTGAAATACCCATTCCCTACACACAGAAAACGAATGTCTGAATTTCACACACCTTTTACATTTTTCAGACACTAAAAAACATCTGAACAAATTTTTATATTACTCAGACGTTTTTAAGTGTCTGAAAAATATCTAGGAAAGGTGTGTGAAATTCAGGCATTCATTTTTGCTGTGCAATTGAGCATGAAATATGCTCGAATCGGGTATATTTTATGCTCAATTCAGGTATATTTTTTCCGTGTTAGCTCTTGCTTATTATTATCCGCATGAGAGGATGACTCTGAGACTGTTGCATAGGTCTGTAAACACCCGTCTCATTGTATAAAAAAAAAAATATCACAGTGGTGAATTATTATTGCCGGAGTGGAAGATATTTTGCAGCAGAACAATGAAAATTCCCCGATAGTCCAATAAAATTTCATTAGTCTCCAAGATTCAACAATTGACCCCCAGCAATCTCCCCCGGAATCACCAACAAAATCCACAGAGCCAGAAATTTTCTAGTGCCACAACTTTTTTCGCGTTTTATTAAAAAAAAAAAACGACGGACTTATGAGACACTCTGCGCCTCGTTCCACCTCGCAACACTACAATATTCCCCGTACTCTCTTCCTCATCCTGCAAACATGAAACCCCACATGACAAGATGAAGGAAAATAAAATACATGAATGTTGGTGAGCCACGTGACGCAGTAGTATAGCCAGCGTGTGCCGCAACGCCCAGGGTATTGATCGGACGAGGGCATCAGCTGTATGGTTGGCAGCATTGCCCGGCCTGTACCATAGACAACGGATAAATGCCGACGTTCCCTAAATGCAATAGCTGACACAGGATGATCAGAAGTTTTGTCTGCACGTAAACCAATAAAAGTAATAAGAGTGATAGAATTCGAAAAATCAGTGACACACTGAGAGAAAAAATTAGTTCTGCCGAAAATTTATGTTCCCCTGAGGAGATCTTTTGTCGTGTTGAGTCAATTTACTTCCGAGCAAAACAGAAAGTTTCTACCAAATCATGATAATTTTTGTTGTAGTCATTGTTCTCGTGAGACACACGGAGAGAAATACTCAGTAAAAATTACGGAACAATTCACGTGATCCGCAATGGGGAATCGTTTTCCGGCTATTTTTATGGGAATGTTTATGGGAATATGTTCCTTTAAAATTCTCAGAGTTCGCGGAATTCAAGAAGGGAGTTTTTTTAATTTTCCTCATATTTCATTAATTTTCAGGAATAATTAAACTGAAATTTAGAGGTCCACGGATTTTTCTACGAAATCATGAATTGTCAATGAAAAAATTGCTTGAAATTTCAGTGGAAATGTTACTTGTCAGAAATTTCCAGGACTCTCACCGGAAATTTCAGTGGTAAATTTTAAACAGTGTATTACCCGATTATGACGGAGTTTGTTGTGGTTTCGGAGGAGTTAAGGGGACGATAGAACGTGAAAAACAGAGGGGAGAGGTGCTTTATGACTCGGAGGTTCGTCGGCTGTTCGACTGACCTCCAGTGTTACACTAACACCTTTTGATTTTACGCTAGTACGACCCAGACCCATGGACACCTAACACGAACCCCACTTTAGCCACACGCTATTGGCCACTTGCGTGAGCACACGCCGTATTGTGGCTCAAACTGGGTTTCTTACGAGCCCATTTTTTCTTTTCGTTTATTTCGTTATTTTTTCCCATCAGGGGAGATGTATTTCTCCGGATTAAAGGTCACTGCCAGTGTTTCGTCGCATTTTTTAAAATCAATTTTTGACTGGAATTCTCGGAGATTTCTTGGGAATTTTTATTGAGTATTTCATGAAATTTCGGCATTGAAAATTCTCAATTCGATGAAAAATCGATGGAACCGGGAAATTTCAGTTCAATTATTCGATGAAAATTAATAGAAATCAACAAAATTAAAGTAAATATCTCAATTGAGTACTGAATATTCATGTTTTTATTGAAAATTAAAAAATTGGAAATTTCATTGAACTTTAAACTCAAACCGGTCTTTTTCTTTTCGAATCCATTTTTCTTTTCGTTTGTTTCGTTGTTTTGTCTTTCATGGGAGATACATTTATCTGAGTTAAAGGTCAGCCAGTGTTTCATCGTATTTTTTGTTATCATTTTTAGCCGGAATTTCCGGTACACTTTATGGGAATTTTTATCAACTGACGCTTCTACTGGAATTTTATGAAATTTCGTAATTGACAATTGTCAATTAAATAAAAAAATCTATGAGAACTGTGAATTTCTGGTCAATTGTTCAATGAAAGTTAGTAAAAATCTGGAAAATTCAAGTAAATATGTAAATTTGGTACTGAATATTCATTTTTTTATTGGAAATTCAAACAATTCAAAGAATTCCGGCTGCTCAAAAATTTGGAACCCCACTGAATTTCAAACTCAAACCAGTTCTTCCCTTCGAGTTCACTTTTCTCTCCGTTTCTTTCATAATTTTTTCCTTCAAGGAAGATGTATTTATCTAGGTTAAAGCGTTCCGTCGCATTTTTAAAATCAAGTTTTTATCTGATTCTGACGCTTCCACTGGAATTCCATAGAATTTGGTCACTAAAAATTTTTAATGCGATGAAAAAATCGATGGAAACTATTAATTTCAGTTCATTTATTCCACGAAAATGAATAGAAATAAAGAAAATTCACGTAAACAACTCAATTTAGTACTGAATATCGATTTTTCAAAATTGAAAATTCACACAATTTGAACAATTCCTGCAACTGAAAAATGTGAAATTCGACTGAATTTCAAACTGAAACCAATCCTTCCCTTCGAGTTCATTTTTC